GGAAACTGAACAAGGAGAGATTCAACCTGGAAATAAGGAGAAACTTTCTGACAGTGAGAACAATCAACCAATGGAACAGAAGCTGCCTTCAGACGTTCTGGGTGCTCCATCACTGGAGGCTTTCAAGAAGAGATTGGACTGCCATTTGTCAGAAATGGTGTAGGGTCTCCCACTTGGATGGGGGGTTGGACTAGATGACCTACAAGATCCCTTCAAACTTTGATTATCTGTTATCTGTTATGATAGATATTTGGCAGTCCTATCTGGTGATGAATTGTGGTGAATGTTAGGAAGGGGAGTGATCAATGTTGGGTCATTGTTATTCACTGAAAGTTCTAAGAAGAAAATTCCATACTTAGTTGGATGCACAATTCTCACAACAGGTAACTGAAGCACAATTTTATGCTACACTGTACTTCACACTGACTTCCCAGCTCAAAATTAGCATAACCTGCTCATTTTCATCCTCTTATTACTAGTTTGCAAGAAGCACTTCCTGTGATCGATATATTTGCAACAGATGTTCCTTTAATGTTTTTGGGGTTGTCTCAAATTTACCATTGTTTCATTCTGTTGCAATTCATTAAAGCTTTGGATATAAATTGGTAGCAGATGCTAGGATGCAGCATATATCTCACAGTCCATTTTACAGTGCAGTTGACATAATAATAATAGTATTTGAGAAGGTGGGTAGCTGACAGGTTTCTCCAGTAACTTGGTCAAACCTTGAAATACTGACTTTGAAATGTTAAAACATTTGTAAATATTAACTGGGCAGCTGGATCGGTTGGTAATGAGGAAGCTATTGCTTGATTGTTCATTTAAATGCAATAAAGACAAATATAACTGAATCTTGGAAGGGGAAATGAAGCCCCATAGAGACAAATATAGCAAAGCTAACCTAGAGTTTAAATACAAACAATGTGATATTTTGCCTTTTAATGAAATCTGTCTGTGCAATATAAGCCAAGATTTTTTCCCCGCATGCCAAATTGAGTATAGATTGCTTATCATTTTGATTTGGGGAAATTCATAAGCCTATTTTTAAAATACAACTTAGAAAGTGTCAGTTCAGGATATTATTTGTAAGGGGGGGAAACAATATAAAGGTGAATCTTCTATTATAAGCTAGTTCATATACATAGAATAATTCCTAAGTAACATAAATTGCTAACTAACCAAATATGGAGATAAATGACCAAAACAACTCACCTTATTTTGAACACTAATATATAAAAATATCAATCAATCAGTTTATTACAGTCTTAGACCAGACAAGAATAATGTATTGCAATGTCGCTGCAATCTAGTGATACATACATACATACATACATACATACATACATACAGTTGCATACATATGTACATATACATACACACACAGAAGTTACATGTGTGCACATATACACACCAGTGGTGGGATTCAATTTTTTTTAATACTGGTTCTGTGGGCGTGGTTTGGTGGGCATGGCAGAAGAAGGATACTGTAAAATCTCCAGTCAGAGGTGGTATTTGCTGGTTCTCTGAACTACTCAAAATTTCCTCTACCAGTTCTGTAGAACTGGACAGAATCTGCTGAATACCACCTCTGATACACACATTAATGTGTGCACAAATACACAAACACACACAAAACTTGCATATGCTTATAATTTTCTCAAAGAAAAAGGAATGCAATGCATTGATCAGGAAACTGCAGCATATATAGAATATCAATCTATTTTATTTTGCTCTAAGTCCAAACTAAGGTAAACAGTTTGCCAACTGTAACTGACCTTAAAAACAGCCAAATTGAGTAAACCAGATGGATGCTTGCTTGGGAGACCACTACAAATCCCCAGAACAATTGGATAAACTACCAGAAGTGACAGTGCCAAATGTTCTTGACATGCTTGTGAAGTAGCCAGAAATCAAACTTGACTCAAAGGAGAGATTACTTTGCTTTAAGCATCTGAGAACAACAGGAGATTTCTTGAGATCAACATTTTTGCCACAGGTATAATTGCAATCGTGGTTCTTAGATCTAGAAAAGATGTGTATAATAATAAGCATGCTGAATTACCATAACAAAATTAAATCTACCTGCTCCCTTTGATCAAGATTTTGGGGTCTTTTTGCTGGTTCTAATAGGAATAGTTGCATCTCATTTATTGGAGAAGGGAGGAAAAAGAAATAGTTTAGCAGAACTTCAATACAAAAGAACCATCTAATGCCTACAAAAATAGTAAAGATCTTTAATGAAAATTAAAAATGTCTCCATTATGTCTCCATTCTTAATTTAACAAAATGTCTACTGTGGAACACATACAAAGTGGAAGAAGGAGAAGGAGAAAGAGAAGTAGGAGGAGGAGGAGGAGGAGGAGAGGAAAAGACCCAAGCATTGTGGGACAGAGTGAGCTCCCATTATTTGTCACACCTAGCACCTATCCTGTCCATCTAGCAGTTTGAAAGCATGCAAATGCAAGTAGACAAAGAGGTACCACTTTGGGAGTAGGTAAGAGCATCCCATGCATCTTTGGTGCATAGTCATAGTCGACTATGAAATTGTGATTTGCATTTCCACTGACTAGAGTCAGAAATGACTCTAGTCAGTGGGAAAATCTTTACCTTTACTTTACTTTTACCTTTATTTCACAGAAAAGAAGAAGAGTTCATGTGAAGAGAGAGAGAGAGAGAGAGAGAGAGAGAGAGAGAGATTAGGATTAGATATTTGTTAGGACAATGTAAATCAAAATAGATCAGGAAGAGAGTAGTATAGCTTCTCTGCATCTAAGCAGAGAAAATATTCTATTGCATTTAACTACTAGTCCAGTACAGCACTAACCCAGAAAATTCCTTGCATTTTAACAAAACATCCTGCCCCAAAATTTTGACAGACTACCAAATAAGATGCTGAAAATCCCAGGGATGTCAAAATTTGGTAGGAAGAACACCTAGAATCATATAATGTTATCTATGGGTAGAAAAGTATCCTTTGGAAGAGGATCAAAGTAGATCTGCTAAGAGAGAAAAATAATAGACTGAACAATCTGAAAGCTGTATGAATTTGTCATGGGGTGAATAAGAGTGTGTGAAAGCTTTAAGCAGTGAAACAGCTTTGCCTTCCAGGATCTTGAGGTGTCATCATTGGTGTTTTCAAGGAAAAATTGGATAGCCCCTTGACTGGGATAGAAACCCTGTATAGGGCAAGACGATGATTAGAAAAACCCCAAGATTCTGTCCAATCCCATGATTCTATGATTGTATGATCAATCCAGCATTGTTCCTGAAAACTCCCTGTATATTGTGGCTAGCTTATCCTTTACCCATACATTGGTCTTATAGGCAAATTCCTTCTACAGAGGAATTATTGAGTCTGTCATCTGCACCTCTATAATTGTCTGGTTTGGCTCTGCAACCAACAAGACAGACACAGACTTCAATTAGAACTGCAGAAAAAACAATTGCTACCAATCTGCCTTCCATGGAGGGCCTGTATACTGAACGAGTCAAAAAGAGGGCTGTGAAAATATCTACAGCACCTTCACATCCTGGACATAAATTATTTCAACTTCTACCCTCAAAACGACGCTATAGAGCACTACACAGCAGAACAACTAGACACAAGGACAGTTTTTAATTGTTTAGCCATCACTCTGCTAAACAGCTAATTCTCACAACACCGTCAAACTATTTACTAAGATTGTATTACTATTCTTCTCATCCTTCCTATTACTGATCTCCTCCCACTGATGACTTTAACCTTGTTGCTTGTATCTTTATGATTTATATTGTTTTATTTAGTTTCCTATTATGATTTGATTGCTTATTCAGTATGCTATGACTATGACTAAGTATGTATCTTAGATTCTTGATGAATGCATTTTTTATGTATACTGGGAGCATATGCACCAAAGACTAATTCCTTGTGTGTCCAATCACATTTTACCAGTAAAGAATTCTATTCTATTCTATATTGTACACTGTTCTTGCATAAGTTAATTTGACATAGCACTTGGTCCCAAATCTATGTTCCTATGTGGAACCTAGAAATCTGACATCATCATCAAAATATGATTTCTTCCAATATATCTTCAGGTCTCATTCAAGCACTAATTTTGATCTTCAAATCCTCATATGATTTGTCAATACATTTCTTGAGGGTTGACTAAATTGTATTTGGAAAATGTTTTTTTTTCAGTGACCCCGATGTGACTACTGAGTGAAGAAGCACCTCAGGGACCATGCATTTTTTTTCTGAGTGGGGGATAAAACAGTCTTTGTAGAAATTGAGGTTTGAAGCCAATAGAGGCCACTTACGTGGTCTTTTCTTCAAGATGAAAACCTTTCACTGGGGCTTCCGGTTTGAGCTTCTTCAGTGACAGACCGAAACCTCGTCTCTGTGAGGCTTCGATCCATGCTCGCTGCTGGAGCGCCCCGAGCCGGCTGGTTTCGGGGCTAAGCCACCCCGTAGAGTTGGTGAAGAAGGGGGAGACTGCCTGCAGGGTTGAGGAGAGCCGCATCTCTCCTTCCCAGCTGGCCATTACTCCCTTTCCCAAAGGTGGTTGTAGCGGTGGTCAGAAATGGCCACCACAAAGAAGAACTCGACCGGAAAAGAATGTGCAGGAGGAAGATAAGAAGAGAAAGTTTTGGTTGACCGGGTCAAACAGCAAAAGCAACAAATAAGGTACCCTGGAATTTAAATTTAATAACATTGTTCCCAGAGAAGATTTTGAAGCTGCGAAGGAGAGAGAGAAGGGAAAGGATTAGTTTTTTTTTTCTTCCCTTCCTTATACTGACAGCTAAGAGACTTAAGCAAGAAATTGAAAAAAATCCACTTTGACATTGTTAAGCCTGGATTCCCCAACGGGTGTTAAGGAAAACAAACTAAACAGAACGTGCAGCGAAGTCAGATAGGAAGACAGGTAAATGTGTGAGATAAGTTTTCTATTTAACACGCAGTAAAAATACAGATACGCTTGTGCTATCAAAAATATAGTTTATTCCATTTAAGAATTATAGCATAGTCAAATGTAACGGTCCATTAGTCATATATCAATTTCAGTCAAGTCTTGTTGGGGATACTCTATTTGCAAAGTCCGTGTTGAATAGCCAATGTCAGTACACTTACAATAAATCAGTCCAATCTTTATCTTCTCTCCGTTGAGAAAAATCAACACTCCTTTTTCTCTCCCCGTTCCAGCAAGAACGCAGTCATCAATCCATCCAGTAATTAGGGATCTTCAAGCCAGAGAGAGCGAGCTGCAATTGCCTCGCTTCTTATATAGTGCTTATACAACCACACCCTTAATTACATTCTTGCTGTTAAAGTTACACACACTTTAACTAACAAACCATGATACCATATTTATTATTTTTACCCAAACCAGTTAGGGTAAACAATGTTATCCCTAACAGACATTAATAGTTATCTAAGCTGAAAATAAAAGTCAAAGGGCTAATAAAATTTTCTGGATATTTAAAAGTTTTTAAAAGCAGGAAAGGAGAAAAAAAAAGAATAAAAGGGCAGGATCTGTTAAAATGGAGGAGACTTCCTGGAACTAAGGAATGGAACCATAACTAAAAGGAACTTACAGTGAAATTTCAACAAGATTCCTCAAAGATACATCTTAATTGAAACTTGGTAACAAAATAATAGAACCCCAGGAAGAGAAAGTGGAAAAAAGAACCAGAAAGAAACAGCCTTGGATTATTTGGATTACTTGGTGATTTTTGGTTTTTACACCTGGATTTTTGGTTTTTACATCTAAAATTAACCGGGTGGTTGTTTAAAAGTCCTTAAAATGGTATCACTCTTAGAAGAACTGAAAATGGAACTTAAAAAGTAGAAAGAAGATGCACAAGAAGGGAGAAGTTCTTCTGGCTTCGTGTTTCAATTCTTAGAAATGGAGATCTGGAACTATAAGAAACAACAAGAAACACTTGCAGAACAAGAAGATTGGGACAAAGAAGAAGCCATCTTTAATGATCAAATAATTTTAAGTGGGGGGGGAGAAAAGGTGGGGAAAGAGAGTGAAAGGTTTAAGACTAGAAAAAACAACCAAAAAGAAGAATAATAATTTGAAAGATAATATTAGAAAGCAACAGAAGAGGGGATTACAGATGAGAGAGTTAGAAGTAGAGAGACGAGGGGGTAAAAAGGGGAGGGAGAAAAAGAGGGGGAAGAAGGCAAGGAAAAGAAGTTGTAAAAGACAGAAACAAGAAATGAAGAAACAGGGAAAAGATATAAGGATTGTAACCATAAGCTTGTTTAGAGATAATGGGTGAAAATTTAATTGCAAAAGGATTCTGCAAAGGTACATAAGATAGCATTGTTATTTTATAAACAGAAATAATTTTAGAAAACATGATTAGAATGAAAACCTTTCTCTGAATCAAGACCTTCTAAATAATTCATTGTCTGGGCCTTGCTTTCAACTGTGTGCAATTTTTTTTGCGTACTGTGGATGCTGTTGTCATGCTTTATGTTGCTTTTGATTCTATGCTTTTTATGTTCTATTTTGTATTTAAATTGTTTTTATGCTGGTTTATTGTAAGACATCCAGGGAATGTTGTTATGGGAATTATATACAAACATTATAAATAAATAAGAAATGATGTCTCTCTGCTAGGAACTAAATAACTTAATGCTGTACCAAGGGAATAACTATTCTCAATAATAAAGCTCAGTTTTGCCACCAGAACAAGTAATTTAAACGGGCAAAATTTTTCTTAGGCTGTGTAATTCTTTGGTTCTTGTAATGAGTTTCCAGACCAAACTGAAGTCATGTTGAACAGAGACAATTGTGCAATGCACCGTATCCCATCATTTAATATTGGAAATCATATCCTGTTATTGCTCTGGCTCCTGAGATTTTAGCAGAAAGGAACCACAATAACCCCAGTAAAATATGAATAAAATTAAATGGATGGATGGATAGATGGAAGGGAGGAAGGAAGGAAGGAAGGAAGGAATTACTTTTCCACTCCAAATATTCAGTTCTTCCTTCTGCCTTCTCACTGGCTCAAGATTGACTCAGCCTTCCATCCTTCCAAGGTGGGTAAAATGGGGACCCAGATTGTTGGGGGCAAGAGGCTGACTCCGTACACCGCTTAGAGAGGGCTGTAAAGAATTGTGAAGCAGTATATAAGTCTAAGTGCCATTGCTAGAAATATTGCTGTACATATTGTGACTCTCTAGCAACTGCAGAATGCTGTCTCTTTTTTCTTCGCAAACACAACATTGTCTCCTTCTTAGGAAAGCCCGTGCAACACGTACACACACATTGTGATGATTGTGCAAGTGGCACAAGCGCACTTCTATTAAATTAGTTAGCCCTAAGTAGCAGAACACACTGTGACAACTTATAAATGAAAGCATTAAATTGTGGCAGGAACTTTTGATGGAAGCAAGGTGCCACTTCATTAATTGTGTAGCTCAGTTTGAAACATTATACTTGCAACATCATCTGGCTTTTATTCTCTGTCTTTGTTCTGATGGGCCCATCATGCAACTAGGACTAATTTGTGTCGTGCCTTTGCTTCCATCTACAAAGCAAAATCTCCATATTGTTGATCAAACCTTTCACCTATTTATGTTGCCTATGGCTGAGGTTTTCTTGTAAACCTCTGCAGTTTCATTTGCTTGCTGGGCAAATCATTCACCCATAAGGAACGAGCCAGCGGCGATACATTGACCACATCAGTGCGGTGAGAAAGGAGACCATCTGCTTAATGGCCTCTTAGCCATCCAGAACCCAATTCTTATTTGTGTATTTCATCCTGGATCTCTTTTGCTGACATACTACAGTAGGACATGGTATTTAAAAGTGGCTTTTCTGTACATAGGAGCTGGCTCTGGAAGCAAACAGATAAGACTTGTAACAACAGACTTCTAAAAGAACAAACTTTCTTTGTTTGTGGCAATATACATTGTGGCAGCTGCAAATTTGTTTTAACTTGTTCTGTTCCTGTAATCCCTTATAAAAAAAGAAAGGAAAGACATGCATATCCTTATCCCAGAATGCTTTTTTAAAAACTAAAAAACAAAACAAAACAAATACACAGTTTGTATTTTTACTTAGTGTCATCAGTTAAACCTGTCAGTTTACCCCATTCGGGTTTCTTATCTGTATCATATGATAAATTGCACTATAAATTCATGCCACTTGGCATTTAGTGAGCCTCGATAACATTAGATGCTATTCAGGTTTCCTTCTTTGCTTGTTCTCGTTTTGTCTTGCCTTGTCTTGCCTTATCTTCTGTATTATCATTTAAAAAAAAAAAAGTTTGGAAATTTTAAGTTTCCAAAGTTGCAAAACAGCAATCACCACTCAACATTCACTAAGTCAATATTTATTTTACACTCCGGTGTTTTTTGTCGGTTTCTTCCCTGCTTCTCTTTGTCATTTACATTTTTATACTAGATTCCCCAAAGGATGCTGCTCAAAATAATTAAAAGCAAAAATCTATCTGAAGATAATCTGAATCAGTGGCTAATTAACTCTTCCAGGTCAAAAGAGGGGGGGTAGGTTTTTTTTGTTTGGTTAAGCACTCATTCTATTTCCTTCCCTTGTTTTTTTATTTTTATTTTTTTGAAAAGGTGTTTTTGTTTTTAAAGGTAGAAAAATGAAAAACTCTACATTACAGTCAAGGAGCTTTGGAAGACATGGATTAATCTTTTTGGCCTGATGTGATAAGACCATATTGTCATTAATTAGATGTAATCCTCATGTTTCTTCCAGTTACGTTTTCCAAAGGGACGAGACAGCTATGAACAAGTATATCGAAAGCCTATAAATAGCAATAGCACAGAGACTTATATACTGCCCCATAGAGTTTTATAACCCTCTCTAAGTGATTTGCAAAGTCTTTAAGAGCTGTGGTTAGAATGCACCATTGCAGGCTAACTCTACCCACTGCCAGGAGTTCGATCGTGACTAGCTCAAGGTTGACTCACTATTCCATCCTTCCGATGGAAAATGAAGAACCCAGATTGTTGAGGAGCAATATGAATACTCTATAAACTTCTTAGAGAGTGCTGTAAAGCACTATGAAGTGGTATGTAAGTCTAAGTTCAATTGCTATTACAGAGTCAACCTATTGCCTTCAACAATCTGGATACTTATTTGACAAGATGTCGGAAGGATAGAATACTGAGTCAACCTTGAGCTGGTCAAGATTGAATTTCTGGAAGTGGGCAGAGTTAGCCTCCAATGCTGAATTCTAACCACAGTGCCACCACATCTCTTAAAGACTCTGTAAATTACTTATTGAGGGCTGTAAAATAATCTGGATGCTTATTTTACAAGACTTCAGAAGGATGGAAGACTGAGTTAGTTTGAGCCTGTCAGGATTGAACTCAAGGCACTGGGCAGATGAACCTGCAATACTGCATTCTAACCACTGTGTTACCATGGCCCTTGTCACCGAGTGGCCAATCTTAACTTTAGTTAAGTTAAAGTTGATAGAACTTCAAAGTGCTTGAATTCATCTCGCTGATGAGCCATTCACCTCCTTCTCTATGATTCATATTTTCCACTAGGCTCCTGTTAGATATGGATAGCTCCAGTGGTGGAATTCAATTTTTTTTTTTACTACCATGGTTTGTTGGGCGTGGCTTATTGGGCGTGGCAGGGGAAGGATACAGTAAAATCTCCATTCCTACCCCACTCCAGGGGAAGGATACTGTAAAATCTGCATTCCCTCCACACCCTACTAACCTGCTTTCCAGCTCTGTTCTCCTGTGCAGGGCAACCAAAGAAGACCCAGACAATCAGCTGGGACTTTGGAGGCAGAGAATAGATGGGTGAGGGGCCAGTCAGAAAAATTTCCACTACTAGTTCTCCAGAACTGGTCAGAACCTGCTGAATACCACCTCTGGATAGCTTCTCCAGGCTCAAAACTTCTTTTCGTCTCGCCGTTTCCTCTTAAGGTTTTCTTGCTCTCATCATTATTTACTTAGAAATTAGGATAACATCTGGCTTTGAAAGTTCTTTGTGTCTAGCTTGGATATCACGATTTGCTGCTGGACTAGCTTCATCATGAGGTTTGGTGAAGACAACATTACTCTTTGTAATGAAGTTGGATCCCCGTGTTGGTGATTCTTCTTCTCCCCTTATTCCAAGTTGGGGTTAGAGGGAGAACAAAAGAAATCAGATTCCTAATGAGCAATCAGCCCAGATTTAGTAATTACCAGGATAGTCTAGTGATTAGGACTCTGAATAGCCTTGAATAATTCATGACCTGACATTGCTGTTTAGAGGGAAATTAAAACTTTTCTCATGCTAATCTCAGCAGAGAAACTCTTCACAAATGGATCTGAAATGCAGCATCTTTTGCAAATTATAAAATTCAAGAGATTACTGGAATTATACCAAATTTATATCAAACAAAATCATGGTAAGATAATATTTAGTTTCTATCTCATATTTTCTTCATTCTCAAGGCTTGATCCTTTTTGGTAAAAAGTCTAATAGGAATTATCTTTGGAATTCCTCCTAAAACATGCATCCACTCAATGTAATTTTCATTTTAATTGCATTAATCATACTCCATAGACTTATTTGGAGTTTTAACCATTGAGTTTTACGTACTTGTATCTATCCATTTCAATATATTTAAATCGCATCATTATCACCATGTTTTAACGACCCCATAATCCCTTGTGGGGTGGAGTCTGGGCAACTGAATGGATCTAAGTATTTACTGGCCGGATGCCCTTCCTGTCACCAATGTGGAATTATATTCAGCAGATGTATCCCATATGTGTGTGTGTGTGTGTGTGTGTGT